CGTCTTGACTGGGCGGCGCCATTTTGTTTGAAACAAATACATGTGATACGAGAGGTGGAATCTGATTGGTCCATATGAGAGGCTCAGAAGGGACATAACTCGTAATAACCACTGGTGGCGCTACGATCGAGCCCAGGAATTCCAGCCAAGTTCGGCAAGGGTGGAAACTGGACTTTTAAAGTCGGTTAACTCTCTTGCCTCGAGAAGATGGGTGGAAGGTTGCCTTGGCAACCAACTTCGTTATCAGCCAAAGTCGCTAACTGGCAAACAACACCTTAATATAACTGAGAGCGGTCGGGTAGCCTAGTGGTTAAAGCGTTCGCTCGTCACGCCGAAGCCTCGGGTTCGTTTCCCGACATGGGTGCAATGTGTGAAGCCCATTTCTGGTGTCCCCCGCCGTGATATTGCTGGAATATTGCTAAAAGCGGCGTAAAACCATACTCACTCACTCACTCATATAACTGAATCCCCGTGGGGATTAAGGGCAAGAACTCGTCTAACGGTGTGTGTAAGGGCGGCTTACTGGACGGGGTGGCCAGGCTCGGAGACTTAGTGAATGGCGTGTCATCATACTCCGACTGGGAGGGGTGGGTGGTCCCGTAGGTGCCTAGTCGTCTGAGGCGCCCCAATTCACTGTGCAGAGTTGCGTCCCTTAGGCACACCACAAACCTATCATTGTGGGTTCGAATCCTGGTTCGTCCTAAGTATGTTTCTTGGTTTGTCAGCACCATACCCGTGCTCGTGGGTTTCACCGAAGTGGTAAACGTCTGAGACCTGCATCACTTCGGGCTGTCCTCCCACATTAAGCTGTCACGCCGTGATATAACTGAAATAATGTTCAAAACTCACTTATTCATTCTCCGACGGCATGCATGGCTGCTCACAAATTGGGAAGATCGATGCTCATTATGTCAACCCCCCCGATTGTCTGGTCCAGACTCGATCATATGCAGACCACCGTCGTATAGCTGGAATATTGCGTCGAATAGTAAACACGTTGTACAGCTGTGGTGTCGATGTTGGCTACGTAACACCTGGTGCCCCCCCCCCCCCCCCCCCCCCCCCTCCAAAAACAAAACAAAACAAAACCCAAAAACAAACACCCATAACTCCCACTCCCTCACCCACATTTCTAATGCAGGCAAAGGATCCTGGCACACAAAAAAAATTGTCTGCACGTTTGCACGAGCACGGTAATGGGTGGGTCAAGTAATTATTTCTTATAATTTCCGAGTTCTCGATATTCAGATACAATGACGTATATAATAAGCTGAGTAAACTGAACTAAATTAAATACCTATGATAAAGCCAACGACCCCTGCTGGAGAAACAGAGGATTCGCAGAAGTTCGGTAAAATATAACGTTGTCAGTATTTAACAATGACATGGTGATATAAAATCCTTTATTATTATTTCTTATATTATATCTACTGTTTGCAGGTGCTGGAGTCCAATCCATGACTCTCACCCTGGTGTTTCTCATTGCGACGGTTACCATGGCTACAAGACAGTTGCAGTGAATACTCTTGTTGGCACTGATGGCCAGTTGGTCCAATGTACCGGACTTCATTGTGCAGAGTTGCGTTGAGGTTCGAATGCCAGATTTGCCCTGATGTTTTGTCAGTGAAATAATGAAATACTGTTTAAAGCCTCGCACATCTTACTCACTGCTGAATACGCAGACATTTTGGAAAAAGTAATGTTTTAATTTGTATGTTCTTCCTGTGATGGACGATGATGGTCGTTGGTTACTTGAAAGGGTGTGGCAGAACACGTATATTTGATAGATCTCAAGGCCAGAGAAGATCCGAGTAAGAATAGGTCTTCAGCAACCCATGCTTGTCGTAACAGGCGACAAACGGGATCGGGTGGTCAGGCTCACTGACTTGGTTGATGCATGTCATCGTATCCCAATTGCGTGGATCGATGCTCATGATGTCAATCACTGGATTGTCTGGTCCAGATTCGATTATTTACAAACCTCTGTCATATAGCTGGAATATTGCTGAGTGCGGCGTTAAAACAAAAAAAAACCAAAGTAGATCTCTATACATTCCTTGATGCTTCAAGAATTATTGGTCATGTATCCGGCATATAATGTAGTGACGACGTTTTGTGCTTTCACTGTTTTTCACATGGTTCTCTGTAGCGGGACGGGGTAGCGTAGTGGGTAAAGCGTTCGCTCGGTTCGATTCCCCATATGGGTACAATATGTGAAGCCAATTGCCGGTGTCCTCTGACGTGATATTGCTGGAATATTGCAAAAAGCGGCGTTAAACCTCACTCACTCGCTCACACAATGGAGCGGGTTGGACGGTGGTCACACCGATGATCTGAGCTCGAATGTCCACTTGGTGCGACGTGTAAGGCCAAGTCTGTGTAAAATTGAGTTGCTGTTTCTCAATCTGGTATTACAGAGTGAGTTTTATTTAACGCCGATTTCAACAGTATTTGTCATGTAACGGCGTGTCTGCTTCATGTGGGAGGGGAACCCGAAGTGATGTTGGTCTGAGACGTTTTCGACTTTATTGAAACCACCAGCGCGAGTCCATACAAAAACATAATTTTGGAAAAATCGGGATTCGAACATTCAATCATTGTTCGGGAACGCCTAAGGGAAGCAACTCTGTATAGAGAATTGCGTTGCCATTGACGACGAGGCAAGCTATGAATGTGGTATAATACAGTATATACTAGTATATGCATGTTCCGTGATGATTGAGAAAGTGAGCGAGTGAACTGGGTTTAACGCCGCTTTTAACAGTATTCCAGTTATATCACGGCGTGTCAGCTTGATGTGGGAGGAAAGCCCGAAGTGATGCAGGTCTCAGACGTTTATTACTTCGGTGAAACCCACGAGCACGGGTATGGTGCTGACAAACCTAGAAACATAATCGGGGTGAACCGGGATTCGAACCCACAATCATAGGTTTCTGGCGTTTCCAGGGGACGCAACTCTGCACAGTGAATCGCTGCGCCTCAGACGACTGGGCCAATCGTGCCCCCTAACTGAGCTAGAGACGGGCTTATATGTCTTCCCTTTATTTCTTTAACGAATCCTGTTGTTTTGCATATGCCTATTGCTGGCAAATTCTTTGAGGTTACGTGATTCTTCTGAATGAAGAATATTCAACCGATGTAGGTATTGATACTGTTCTTCCACGCATTGAAAGTGTCCTTTTACTGTTATACATTATATTCCAACTCGTGAAATAAAAAGAATTGTTGTGATTTTTTTGTTTACGCCTCAGTACATAGCCAGCCTTTTCGTGGCGGCCTGTTCATACTCAATATGCATCAGATTGTTTGTTTATTTGTTTATTTGTTCAGGAGATAAACATACTGTGTTTTTAATGTACAGCTGGGATATCTGTAGATTTAACCGTGCTCAATTGAATTTGAAACCGAACGCACAACATGAGGTTTCAAATGTTTAATTTAGCGCGGTTAATTCTACAGGTAGCCTTGCTCTACATTGAAAACACAGTATGTTTCTCCATTCAACCATAACTAAGTGAACTCTTTGGTGTCGGCAAATACATTGAGTGAAGCGGCATGGGCGTAGGGTTGTCGATCAGAATTTATTATTACTCGATATGCTCAAGCAGTAGGTTTAAACTGAAATTGGGGCGGTCGGGTAGCCTAGAGGTTAAAGCGTTCGCTCGTCACGCCGAAGACCCGAGTTCGATTTCCGACATGGGTACAATGTGTGAAGCCCATTTCTGGTGTCCCCCGCCGTGATATTGCTGGAATATTGCTAAAAGCGGCGTAAAACCATACTCACTCAATTACACTGAAATACATCACGCGAACTTATGACAGGCACTGAAAAGATCGACGTAGCTCGGCAACTTTGGAATCTGACATGAGGTGGCACCCCTAAAGCAAACGGGGGCACGGGTGGCCCAGTCGCCTAAGGCGCCGCAATTCGCTGTGCAGAGTTGCGTCCCTTGGGCACGCCAGAAACCTATGATTGTGGGTTCGAATCCCGGTTCGCCCCGATTATGTTTCTAGGTTTGTCAGCACCGTACCCGTGCTCGTGGGTTTCACCGAAGTGGTAAACGTCCGTGACCTGCATCACTTCGGGCTTTCCTCCCACATTAAGCTGGCATGCCGTGATATAACTGGAATACTGTTAAAAGCGGCGTTAAACCCAACTCACTCACTCACTCACGTCATTGCTCGAGCGCAGCGTTAAACAGCAAACACATATTCAACGGAATGATAACATTGATATGCATTGAGTTGTTTTTTTATAATTGTCCTTCAAATTAAAACCCGAGTGTCTTCGATGACCAAACTAAAGTCGGATTAATAACATAAAAAAGTGGAAAAACTAGTATTTAAAACGTTTTATTTACAAAGGACACAAGGACCTCATCCGTGTCATACGCATGACGTAATTGAACTACAGACTTCATGAATGAAGTTAATAAGAAACTACTAATAATAATTAACTAAATTTTCATATTTATGTTTGTACACTGGAATTAAACAACAAGAAGGGTTCGTGTCGGGTTCATACGCGACTCTATGCATTAACTACGGTGGCCCATAACACGATTTGTCTTACAAATATGTGATAACACATGTGTAAGAAGATATTGAATCGCTGAAAAGTGAAACGAAAATGTCAAAAACTAAAATGAAAATATCAAAAACGAAAACGAAAATGTCAAAATCTGAAATGAAAATACAGAAAACTATTTCCACCGCGGTGATAATATTCCCACCACGGTGATAATATTCCCACCGCGGTGGAAATAGTTTTCTGTTATTTCACTTTAGTTTTTGGCCTTTTCGTTTTTGTTTTTGACATTTTCATTTTAGTTTTTGACCTTTTCGTTTTTGTTTTTGAAATTTTCATTTTAGTTTTTGACATTTTCGTTTTGGTTTTTGACATTTCCATTTTAGTTTTTGACATTTTCGCTTCACATTTCAGCGACTCAATAGCTACTTGTAAGTACATTTTCTATGTTTACGGTTGTTTTTATATATGATTTATTACATATTTGTATGACCAATTGTGTTAATTTGCAAAAGGTTACGATAAAAGTAAGTGAAATATCAAAATATGGAAAAACAGACTCCATGTCGCTTTTGGGCCACCGTAATTATCCAATTACCGCCAACTTTGGTAAATAGTTGGACAGAAATGGGCTGTCAGAATTCATCTAGAGTTCCGACGCAATGGCAAACAGCGAGGCCCACACTTCGTCTCCAGTCGGGATTATCTCGCTTGTCGGAAGGACGAACCCGTTGCTGGTCCCTGCAGAAGGTCGGAGTTCATAGGTCATAGTGTATGGAATCTCTTCTCGGAGCCTGGCCCAATCGGCGGAGATTCCCGATGCAACGTCTGAATGACACGAAATACAAACGTTAGTGGGCGAGTTGTTGTTTGTTTGTTTGTTTGTTGGTTTGTTGTTTAACGCCGCTCTTGGCAATATTCCAGCTATATGACGGCGGTCTTTAAATAATCGAGGCTGAACCAGACAATCCAGTGATTGACATCATGAACATCGATCCACGCAATTGGGATACGATGACATGCATCAACCAAGTCAGCGAGCCTGACCACCCGATCCCGTTAGTCGCCTCTTACGACAAGCATGGGTTGGTGAAGACCTGTTCTACACCGTATCTTCACGGCTCAGTTGGCGAGTTAACAGGTATCTGAAAAGGCTCAGTCACAGATAGAAGAGAGCAAATCATACATACAAATAGTGCCATGGCACTGTAGCTCACCTGGATATATAGTCCACAGTTTAAAGTATCTATAAAATTGACATTCGAATATTTGTAGCCAAATATTGAGGACTAAAAACACTAAATCTGATGATTTATAAAAAAGTAATTTCATCATAAGGAGACACGTACACGACATAGTTCAGCTGCATCAGTTTAGCAACGTCTTGGAATTATGGCAAGTGTGCCATTCAAGATCATTAGCTCGGTAGCGACATGTTCACATTTTTCTGTATTTCAAAGAGAACCAAACTGAGTCTACGTGTTGAATCCTAGAACTAAACATACAGCAAACTACGTTTATAACGAACACGCTTATAACGAACCGACGGATATAACGAACTTATTTTCTTGTCCCACTCATTTGGGTGAGGGAGTGAGTTTGTTTTACGTCACATCGGCAATATTTCAGCCACATCGTGATGAGAAGTTATACCTTTTTAATACATACATTTAAACTAAATAAAACCTGTCATCGATGGACAGTAGAATTACTAAAATATCACAGATTAATGTTTAAAACTAGCATAAAACCATAAAACGATATCACTAAATGAACAGTACAATATAAAAAGGGGCTGCAGATCGCCAGCAGTTGAAGGCAGATCACCATGCTAGGGTCCATGGGGACTTACAGTACTTTTGCTACCTGCATGGACCCCAGCCGGATTTACATCATCTCTTCCGCTGTTGGCGATTAATGACAAATTTAGCCAGATTAAACGAACATATATACTACGATTAAAAAAGTGGCAGAAATAAACATACTTTGAAAGACGTGGTCTTACATACCCTCTCAGGGGCCCCGGCCAATTGATGTTAATATGCTGTATATATGCTTATAACGAACTACGGTTATTACGAACTAGAATTTGTGGTCCCCTTGAGTTCGTTATAACCGTAGTTTACCGTATAACAAATTTCATCAAATTTTCAAAGCAAATAGACTAATTGTCATAGATAGATTTTACAATACAGTTACATTTTAATAAGAACCCAACGGTTCTAGTGTCAATGGCTGTTTCGTATGCTGAATAAAGACAAATGTCACAGGTTAAATACTTAAAATCCAAGGTCATGGCCACATTGAAGACAGCGTGAGTCATTTGGTTTAACGCCTGTTTGAACAGTATTCCAGTTACATTACGGCGTGCCAGCTTAATGTGGGAGGAAAGCCCGAAGTGATGCTGGCTTAGACGTCTAACACGGTGACACCAACGAAAACGGGTAAGGTGCTGAGAAACCTAGAAATATAATCTGGGCGAACCGGGATTCGAACCCGCGATCAAGGAGTACTGGGACGCTGGAAGGCAACACTGCACAGTGAGTTGCAGCCCCTTAGACGCCTGGGTAAAACCCAAAAGCAACAAGACCATATGGTGAGAATAAGGATCATAGCACGGCAAAGGGACGAGACTACACACCGACAGTACTGGATGTGTTCTGTGTATTAATGCCCTACAGCGTTGGGAGCAAACTACGAAAGCCTATTGAGGTCAAAATTGAAAGATGGAAAGGACACGAAAAGAAATAACGGAAAAAAAGATTCGTTATTACGGCAAAAATCACGCTAAAACGGAAAAAAATATTCGATATTACGAAAAAAGATTCGTTATTACGAAAATAAATTCGTTATAACGGAAAAAAGATTCGTTATAAGGAATCTTTTTCCGTTTTCCGTAATAACGAAATGATTTCCGTAATAACGAAATTTTTTTTCCGTTATACAAAATTATTTCCGTGATAACGAAATTATTTTCGCAATAACGATTCTTTTCCGTTATAACGAATTTATTTTTGAAATAACGAATTTTATTTCGTTATAACGAATCTTTTTTCGAAATAACGAATTTATTTTCATATTAACGAATCCGTAAAACGAAATTATTTCCCTAGTAAAGAATCTTTTTTTCCGTTGTGACGAATTTCTTTTCGTGTCTTTTCCATATTACAATTTTGACCCCATTAGGCTTTTGCAGCAAACGCATCAATGTCGCACGTACTTTGGAGAGTTTTACAAACGTCTATAACAGTATTTAACTCTCCCCAAACACACGAAACTGCTACTTTGCTGTCAAAAAAGAGAGTGATGTGATGACGAGGACCATTACGACACATTTCAAGATGTTGAAAAACGACACATTACTTACACAAAATCTCAGCTGGAGTGCCGACTACATAACTTTTCCCGTCGGGTCGATTCAAGATGGCTGTTCGGGCCAAGTTTGTGATCCGTCTCTGCGAAGTCATTTAAATAATGATAGAAAAACACAATCATCATACATTAGGTCACCTGTAGACTAGGTTTACCTGTAGACAATGTTATTAATATTGATAATTAGTCATGATGATAGTGACGTGGCTTCTAAGATTCAAGGGGCGGTCGGGTAGTCTAGTGGTTGAAACGTTCGCTCGTCACGCCGAAGACCCGGGTTCGATTCCCGACATGGGTACAATATGTGAAGACTATTTCTGGTGTCCCCCGCCGTGTTTTTGCTGGAATATTGCTAAAAACGGCGTAAAACCATACTCACTCACTCACTCCAAGATTCAAACGCTTTTTGAGAACACACAAAAACTAAGACCAGGTGAGCTTGGCAACATCTTAATTCAAAACGAAAGAGTGAGTGAGTATGGTTTTACGCCGCTTTTAGCAATATTCCAGCAATATCACGGCGGGGGACACTAGAATTGGGCTTCACACATTGTACCCATGTCGGGAATCGAACCCGGGTCTTCGGCGTGACGAGCGAACGCTTTAACCACCAGGCTACCCGACCGCCCCTTTAGATGATGGAGGAACATGTATAGAGATCTACTGTTTGTGGGTTTCTTGCTTAACGCCCCTCAAAACGAAAGAAACATCGCAATCGTTTCTTTAACTGCTTTATATATAAGAGGATTTAATTTTGAAATTCAAATTTTTTAACATTGTCATTGATTTCCTATCGGTGTCTTCATTGTGAGTGAGTGAGTGAGTTGGGTTTTACGCCGCTTTTAACAGTATTCCAGTTATATCGCGGCGTGACAGCTTAATGTGGGAGGAAAGCCCGAAGTGATGCAGGTCTCAGACGTTTACCACTTCGGTGAAACCCACGAGCACGGGTATGGTGCTGACAAACCTAGAAACATAATCGGGGCGAACCGGGATTCGAACCCACAATCATAGGTTTCTGGCGTGCCTAAGGGACGCAACTCTGCACAGCGAATCGCAGCGCCTTAGACGACTGGTCCACCCGTGCCGCCGATTAAATATGAAGTCAGTGAAATTATTATTGTTGTATTTATGTCAAAGAATTAGCTTCAACATGTTTTTGCGTTTGTGGAGTTATAAAAGTAAACACCGCTGTGCTGCTAATTTGTTTGTTTGTTTGATTTTTGCCGAACTCGGCAATATTCCAGCTACATGGGGACGGTCGGGTAGCCTAGTGGTTGAAACGTTCGCTCGTCACGCCGAAGACCCGGGTTCGATTCCCAACATGGGAACAAAGTATGAAGCCTATTTCTGGTGTCCCCCGCCGTGTTATTGCTGGAATATTGCTAAAAGCGGCGTAAAACCAGACCCACTCACTCAAGCTATATGGTGGCGACAGCCCTTCTGATAATCTGGGTAAAGCAGAAGGCTGCAGTGTTTGGGAGTCTTCACATTTTCCGAAAAGTTCTGGGTGGGTATGGCAAGGAAGCGCATCTTGGGAGAAGTCCCACTAGCTGTTTTGATTGTTTGTTTGTTGTTTAACACCGCACTCTGCAATATTCCAGCTATATGACGGCGGTCTGTACATAATCGGGTCTGGACAAGACAATCCAGTGATTGACATCATGAGCATCGACCCCGGCAATTGGGATACGATGACAGGCATCAACCAAGTCAGCGAGCATGACCACTCGATCCCGATAGTCGCCTCTTACGACAAGCCTTTTATGGCAAGCATGGGTTGCTGAAGACCCCGGATCGTCACGGGTCTTGTTGATTATGTACATATTTGACCATAATGGTATTGTGGCCATCGACCCACGAAACTGGGATACGATGACATGCATTAACCATGTAAGCGAGCAGTTTTGCTTCTCACGGCTATCAAGGGTGCTGAAGACCTTTTTTAAACCGGATCTTCAAGAGTCGAGAATACATCTAAGGACTCATAAGGAAACTATAGCTACTTGACTTCTCACAATTTCAGCATCATTAGCTGGTACAGTGTTGTAGGCGTATCCGTAGGGCGTGAGCAGATACTGGGAATAGCAGTGGACGGAGATGTAGGCGGAGATGGCGCCCTTTGTCGCCTTGATGGAGCTGACCAGATCACGCATGTTGCGACTCTCCGCCTCAGAGAAGGCGCTGGGGCCTCGATATGTGTCTGATGCACAGCTGCTAGAAGAACCACCCCCTGAAAAACACAGGTCAGGTCGGGTCAGGTCGGGTCGGGTCGGGTCGGGTCGGGTCGGGTCGGGTCGGGTCTGGTCTGGTCGGGTCGGGTCGGGTCGGGTCGGGTCAGGTCAGGTCAGGTGCTTGTCACGTCTTTACGCCACAGAGAAGAAGCTGAGATTCAGGAACTGTTCTATCAACAGCTGCCTGACGAACGGACTCATGAACGGTCCATTTTAAAGTCTTCTATACTCCAGACCTCAGACAAGACCGGAACTCAGACAAGACCCCAGGTCTCGTCAAAGGCTATCAGAACTCAGGCAAGACCCTATGTCTCGTCAAAGGTTATCAGAACTCAGACAAGACGCTGCGTCTCGCCAAAGGTTACCAGAACTCAGATAAGACGCTGCGTCTCGTCAAAGGCTTCCAGAACTGACAAGACGCTGTGTCTCATCAAAGGCTACCCGACCTCAGACAAGACGCTGCGTCTCGTCAAAGGCTATCAGAACTCAGACAAGACGCTGTGTCTCGTCAAAGGCTATCAGAACTCAGACAAGACGCTCTGTCTCGTCAAAGGCTATCAGACCTCAGAAAGACGCTGTGTCTCGTCAAAGGCTATCAGAACTCAGACAAGAGGCTGTGTTTCAACAAAGGCTACCCGAATTCAGACAAGACCCTGTGTCTCGTCAAAGGCTATGAGAACTCAGACAAGACCCTGTGTCTCGTCAAAGGCTATCAGAACTCAGTCAAGACCCTGTGTCTCGTCAAAGGCTATTAGACCTCAGACAAGATGCTGTTTCTCGTCAAAGGCTACCCGACCTCAAACAAGACGCTTCGTCTCGTCAAAGGCTTCCAGAACTCAGACAAGACGCCGTGTCTCATCAAAGGCTACCCGACCTCAGACAAGACGCTGTTTCTCGTCAAAGGCTATCAGAACTCAGACAAGACGCTGCGTCTCGTCAAAGGCTATCAGAACTCAGACAAGAGGCTGCGTCTCGTCAAAGACTATCAGAACTCAGACAAGAGGCTGTGTTTCAACAAAGGCTACCCGAATTCAGACAAGACGCTGTGTCTCGTCAAAGGCTATCAGAACTCAGACAAGACCCTGTGTCTCGTCAAAGGCTATCAGAACTCAGTCAAGACCCTGTGTCCCGTCAAAGGCTATTAGACCTCAGACAAGATCCTGCGTCTCGTCAAAGGCTACCCGGCCTCAGACAAGACGCTGTTTCTCCTCAAAGGCTATCAGAACTCAGACAAGACGCTGTGTCTCGTCAAAGGCTACCCGACCTCAGACAAGACGCTGTTTCTCGTCAAAGGCTATCAGAACTCAGAAAAGACGCTGTGTCTCGTCAAAGGCTACCCGACCTCAGACAAGACGCTGTTTCTCCTCAAAGGCTATCAGAACTCAGACAAGACGCTGCGTCTCGTCAAAGGCTATCAGAACTCAGTCAAGACCCTGTGTCTCGTCAAAGGCTATCTGAACTCAGACAAGACGCTGTGTCTCATCAAAGACTACCGGAATTCAGACAAGACGCTGTTTCTCGTCAAAGGCTATCAGAACTCAGACAAGACGCTGTGTCTCGTCAAAGGCTACCCGACCTCAGACAAGACGCTGTTTCTCGTCAAAGGCTATCAGAACTCAGAAAAGACGCTGTGTCTCCTCAAAGGCTACCCGACCTCAGACAAGACGCTGTTTCTCGTCAAAGGCTATCAGAACTCAGAAAAGACGCTGTGTCTCGTCAAAGGCTACCAGACCTCAGACAAGATGCAGTGTCTCGTCAAAGGCTATCAGAACTCAGACAAGACGCTGCGTCTCGTCAAAGGCTATCAGAACTCAGACAAGAGGCTGTGTTTCAACAAAGGCTACCCGAATTCAGACAAGACGCTGTGTCTCGTCAAAGGCTATTAGAACTCAGACAAGACGCTGTGTCTCGTCAAAGGCTACCGGAATTCAGACAAGACCCTGTGTCTCGTCAAAGGCTATCAGAACTCAGACAAGACCCTATGTCTCGTCAAATGTTACCCGACCTCAGACACGACGCTGTGTCTCGTCAAAGGCTATTAGAACTCAGACAAGACGCTGTGTCTCGTCAAAGGCTATTAGAACTCAGACAAGATGCTGCTTCTCGTCAAAGGCTACCCGAATTTAGACAAGACGCTATGTCTCGTCAAAGGCTACCAGAACTCAGACAAGACGCCGTGTCTCGTCAAAGGCTATTAGACCTCAGACAAGACCCTGTGTCTCGTCAAAGGCTATCAGAACTCAGAGAAGATGCTGTGACTCGTCAAAGGCTATTAGACCTCAGACAAGACGCTGTGTCTCGTCAAAGGCTACCCGACCTCAGACAAGACGCTGTGTCTCGTCAAAGACTATCAGAACTCAGACAAAATGTGCGTCTCGTCAAAGGCTACCCGAATTTAGACAAGACGCTGTGTCTCGTCAAAGACTACCGGAATTCAGACAAGACGCTGTGTCTCGTCAAAGGCTACCGGAATTCAGACAAGACGCTGTGTCTCGTCAAAGGCTACCGGAATTCAGACAAGACCCTGTGTCTCGTCAAAGGCTACCCGAATTCAGACAAGACCCTGTGTCTCGTCAAAGGCTATCAGAACTCAGACAAGACCCTGTGTCTCGTCAAAGGCTACCAGAACTCAGACAAGACCCTATGTCTCGTCAAAGACTACCCGAATTCAGACAAGACGCTGTGTCTCGTCAAAGGCTATCAGAACTCAGACAAGACCCTGTGTCTCGTCAAAGGCTACCAGAACTCAGACAAGACCCTATGTCTCGTCAAAGGCTACCCGACCTCAGACACGACGCTGTGTCTCGTCAAAGGCTATTAGAACTCAGACAAGACGCTCTGTCTCGTCAAACGCTATTAGAACTCAGACAAAATGTGCGCCTCGTCAAAGGCTACCCGAATTTAGACAAGACGCTGTGTCTCGTCAAAGGCTACCAGAACTCAGACAAGACGCTGTTTCTCGTCAAAGGCTATCAGACCTCAGACAAGACGCTGTGTCTCGTCAAAGGCTACCCGACCTCAGACAAGACGCTGTGTCTCGTCAAAGGCTATCAGAACTCAAACAAGACGCTGCGTCTCGTCAAAGGCTATCAGAACTCAGACAAGACGCTGCGTCTCGTCAAAGGCTATCAGAACTCAAACAAGGCACTGGGTCTCGTCAAAGGCTATCAGAACTCAAACAAGATGCTGTTTCTCGTCAAAGGCTATCAGAACTCAGACAAGTCGCTGTGTCTCGTCAAAGGCTACCCGAATTTAGACAAGACGCTGTCTCTCGTCAAAGACTATCAGAACTCAAACAAGACGCTGCGTCTCGTCAAAGGCAATCAGTACTCAGACAAGACGCTGTGTCTCGTCAAAGGCTATCAGAACTCAGACAAGACCCTGTCTCTCTTCAAAGGCTATTAGACCTCAGACAAGATGCTGCGTCTCGTCAAAGGCTACCAGAACTCAGACAAGACGCTGCGTCTCGTGAAAGGCTTCCAGAACTGACAAGACGCTGTGTCTCCTCAAAGGCTACCCGACCTCAGACAAGACGCTGCGTCTCGTCAAAGGCTATCAGAACTCAGACAAGACGCTGCGTCTCGTCAAAGGCTATCAGAACTCAGACAAGACGCTGCGTCTCGTGAAAGGCTATCAGAACTCAGACAAGACGCTGTGTCTCGTCAAAGGCTACCGGAATTCAGACAAGACCCTGTGTCTCGTCAAAGGCTACCCGAATTCAGACAAGACCCTGTGTCTCGTCAAAGGCTACCGGAATTCAGACAAGACGCTGTGTCTCGTAAAAGGCTACCGGAATTCAGACAAGACCATGTGTCTCGTCAAAGGCTATCAGAACTCAGACAAGACCCTATGTCTCGTCAAATGCTACCCGACCTCAGACACGACGCTGTGTCTCGTCAAAGGCTATTAGAACTCAGACAAGACGCTGTGTCTCGTCAAAGGCTATTAGAACTCAGACAAGATGCTGCTTCTCGTCAAAGGCTACCCGAATTTAGACAAGACGCTATGTCTCGTCAAAGGCTACCAGAACTCAGACAAGACGCCGTGTCTCGTCAAAGGCTATTAGACCTCAGACAAGACCCTGTGTCTCGTCAAAGGCTATCAGAACTCAGAGAAGATGCTGTGACTCGTCAAAGGCTATTAGACCTCAGACAAGACGTTGTGTCTCGTCAAAGGCTACCCGACCTCAGACAAGACGCTGTGTCTCGTCAAAGACTATCAGAACTCACACAAAATGTGCGTCTCGTCAAAGGCTACCCGAATTTAGAAAAGACGCTGTGTCTCGTCAAAGACTACCGGAATTCAGACAAGACGCTGTGTCTCGTCAAAGGCTACCGGAATTCAGACAAGACCCTGTGTCTCGTCAAAGGCTACCCGAATTCAGACAAGACCCTGTGTCTCGTCAAAGGCTATCAGAACTCAGACAAGACCCTGTGTCTCGTCAAAGGCTATCAGAACTCAGACAAGACCCTATGTCTCGTCAAAGGCTACCCGAATTCAGACAAGACCCTGTGTCTCGTCAAAGGCTATCAGAACTCAGACAAGACCCTGTGTCTCGTCAAAGGCTACCAGAACTCAGACAAGACCCTATGTCTCGTCAAAGGCTACCCGACCTCAGACACGACGCTGTGTCTCGTCAAAGGCTATTAGAACTCAGACAAAATGTGCGTCTCGTCAAAGGCTACCCGAATTTAAACAAGACGCTGTGTCTCGTCAAAGGCTACCAGAACTCAGACAAGACGCCGTGTCTCGTCAAAGGCTATTAGACCTCAGACAAGACCCTGTGTCTCGTCAAAGGCTATCAGAACTCAGAGAAGATGCCGTGTCTCGTCAAAGGCTACCCGACCTCAGACAAGACGCTGTTTCTCGTCAAAGGCTATCAGAACTCAGAAAAGACGCTGTGTCTCGTCAAAGGCTACCCGACCTCAGACAAGACGCTGTGTCTCGTCAAAGACTATCAGAACTCAGACAAAATGTGCGTCTCGTCAAAGGCTACCCGAATTTAGACAAGACGCTGTGTCTCGTCAAAGACTACCGGAATTCAGACAAGACGCTGTGTCTCGTCAAAGGCTACCGGAATTCAGACAAGACCCTGTGTCTCGTCAAAGGCTACCCGAATTCAGACAAGACCCTGTGTCTCGTCAAAGGCTATCAGAACTCAGACAAGACCCTGTGTCTCGTCAAAGGCTACCAGAACTCAGACAAGACCCTATGTCTCGTCAAAGGCTACCCGAATTCAGACAAGACCCTGTGTCTCGTCAAAGGCTATCAGAACTCAGACAAGACCCTGTGTCTCGTCAAAGGCTACCAGAACTCAGACAAGACCCTATGTCTCGTCAAAGGCTACCCGACCTCAGACACGACGCTGTGTCTCGTCAAAGGCTATTAGAACTCAGACAAGACGCTCTGTCTCGTCAAACGCTATTAGAACTCAGACAAAATGTGCGTCTCGTCAAAGGCTACCCGAATTTAGACAAGACGCTGTGTCTCGTCAAAACGCTACCAGAACTCAGACAAGACGCTGTTTCTCGTCAAAGGCTATCAGACCTCAGACAAGACGCTGTGTCTCGTCAAAGGCTACCCGACCTCAGACAAGACGCTGTGTCTCGTCAAAGGCTATCAGAACTCAAACAAGACGCTGCGTCTCGTCAAAGGCTATCAGAACTCAGACAAGACGCTGTGTCTCGTCAAAGGCTATCAGACCTCAGACAAGACGCTGCGTCTCGTCAAAGGCTATCAGAACTCAAACAAGGCACTGTGTCTCGTCAAAGGCTATCAGAACTGAGACAATAGGCTGTGTCTCGCAAAACGCAACCAGAACTCAAGCAAGACGCTGTGTCTCGTCAAAGGCTATCAGAACTCAAACAAGATGCTGTTTCTCGTCAAAGGCTATCAGAACTCAGACAAGTCGCTGTGTCTCGTCAAAGGCTACCCGACCTCAGACAAGACGCTGTTTCTCGTCAAAGGCTATCAGAATTCAAACAAGACGCTGCGTCTTGTCAAAGGCTATCAGAACTCAGACAAGACGCTGTTTCTCGTCAAAGGTTATCAGAACTCAGACAAGATGCTGCGTCTCGTCAAAGGCTACCCGAATTTAGACAAGACGCTGTTTCTCGTCAAAGACTATCAGAACTCAAACAAGACGCTGCGTCTCGTCAAAGGCAATCAGTACTCAGACAAGACGCTCTGTCTCGTCAAAGGCTATCAGAACTCAGACAAGACCCTGTCTCTCTTCAAAGGCTATTAGACCTCAGACAAGATGCTGCGTCTCGTCAAAGGCTACCAGAACTCAGACAAGACGCTGCGTCTCGTGAAAGGCTTCCAGAACTGACAAGACGCTGTGTCTCCTCAAAGGCTACCCGACCTCAGACAAGACGCTGCGTCTCGTCAAAGGCTATCAGAACTCAGACAAGACCCTGTGTCTCGTCAAAGGCTACCAGAACTCAGACAAGACCCTATGTCTCGTCAAAGGCTACCCAAATTCAGACAAGACCCTGTGTCTCGTCAAAGGCTATCAGAACTCAGACAAGACCCTGTGTCTCGTCAAAGGCTACCAGAACTCAGACAAGACCCTATGTCTCGTCAAAGGCTACCCGACCTCAGACACGACGCTGTGTCCCGTCAAAGGCTATTAGAACTCAGACAAGACGCTTTGTCTCGTCAAACGCTATTAGAACTCAGACAAAATGTGCGTCTCGTCAAAGGCTACCCGAATTTAGACAAGACGCTGTGTCTCGTCAAAGGCTACCAGAACTCAGACAAGACGCTGTGTCTCGTCAAAGGCTACCAGAACTCAGACAAGACGCTGTGTCTCGTCAAAGGCTACCAGAACTCAGACAAAACACCGTGTCTCGTCAAAGGCAGGCAGATGAACCGCAATGAATGGGAACACAATCATAGACCCTTGGAAATGGCATCATTTGCGATATTGTTTTTTCCATCTACCTCCGAAGTTGGCGTCAAAATTGCGGTTCAGGTCAATTCCCCGACTGTTGGTACCAGAGCAGATGTTTCGGTTCTTCCTCCAAAGTCGACTCTGTAAAAATGGACCGGCATAAAAGTAAATGATGCTCTTAACAGAAAATACATACTGATACATTACTGTTACATTCTTGTAAATCATTCTTGTATTAACACATTTCGTTGCAGGTGAGGTGAAATGGGGTTTAACACAGATATTCCTAAACACATGCTGACAATGCAGTTGGAATCGGGCAATCGACTCTACTTTTGGCGCTGATTTCTTCTGAACATGGAAAGGATTTTGTCACATACATTTGTTACCCCATTGGGGGCACGGGGGCACTCGCTGTGCAGAGATGCGTCCCTTGGGAACGCCAGAAACCTATGATTGTGGGTTCGAATCCCAGTTCGCATCGATTCTAGGTTTGTCAGCACCATGCCCGTGCTCGTGGGTTTCACCGAAGAGGTAAACGTCTGAGACCTGCATCACTTCGGGCTTTCCTCCCACATTAAGCTGACACGCCGTGATATAACTGGAATACTGTTAAAAGCGGCGTTAAACCCAACTCACTCACTCACATTGTAACCCCATCAGGGTGGAGACAGCGGGCAGTGACAATGTACCTTCATGGTGTGTGTTTAGGAATATCCGTCAGGGCGGTCTGATAGTGCTAGCTCACTGAGATACCATGCCGCAGTTTAACATGAATACCCCACTCAGACACAGTATAGTGACTCCGAGCCGACCAGTCCTTGTTTTAGCCCATTAATGCCGAGCGCCAGACAGGGTAGCAACAAGTACCATTTTTAACGTCTGTCGGTATGACGCGGCCGGGGATCGAACTCCGGACCTTCCGCTCTCCGGGCGGACGCTCTACCAGTAGACCACGGAGGCGGTCCCTTCAGGGTGGAGACAGGGGGTAGACACGATGTACTTACATTGGTGTGTGTGTAGGAATATCCGTCAGGGTTGGTGACAGGAACAATATACCATTCGAAGTTGTTGTAAAGGTATTCTGCCTGGCTTCCGGGGTTAGAGCGTTCGTGAAGCATCTGTAATGGAATGTCAAAACATCAGTTCTGCATAAGGAAGAGAATTTATAGATGTCAACTTCTTGATTAGGAGGAACACAACGTTTTGGAGTATATGAATGATTATTCACCCGATGTTGGAGTAAGCATATTCTATATTATGAGGAACACAACGTTTCGGAGTACAGTAAACTACGGTTATAACGAACACGCTTATAACGAACTGACCGATATAACGAACTTATTTTTTAGTCCCGGCCATTTGATGTTTATATGCTATATATATGCTTATAACGAACTACGGTTATAACGAACTAAAATAAGTGGTCCCTTTGAGTTCGTCATAACCGTAGTTTACTGTATATGCTTACTCCTTCATCAGGTGAATAATCATTCATATACTTCGAAACGTTGTGTTCCTCATTATAAAGAAGTTGACATCCATACATTCTCCTAATATGTTTCACTTCTAAATGCCTTTCACAGACCTGGTCAGTTCTGCACTGTTTATATATATCTACTTATCGACGGGGAACACATTAGATCGACCAAATGCGGCACACTATGTCTAATCATTTGTCCCCAAGGTAACACATTGGGTAGAAATGTGATGACGTTCCTTGTGTACTGTTTCGTATTTTCGAACAATGTCAGCTTCTGAATCTTTCCTAAAAAGATGGAATCTTTGAGCAACATTGAAGATTTGTTTTTGAATTGCTTTGATATAATTCTTGATTAAGGCCTTTTTCATTTTAAAGATTTGTTTAGGGATTTGATATAACTCAGCATGAACGACATTTTCATTTGAAGATTTGTTAAGGGCTTTGATAAACCTCAACATATAGGACATTTCCACTGTAAAGATTTGTTAAGGGCTTTGATGTAACTCAGTATAAAGGACATTTTCATTTTTTAAAATTCGTTTGGGGCTTTGATATAAGTCAGTATGAAGAACATGTTCATTTTACAGATTCGTTTAGGGCTTTGATGTAACTCAGTATGAAGGGCAGATTTATTTTAAAGATTTGTTCAGGGCTTTGATATAACTCAGCATGAAGGACATTTTCATTGTAAAGATTTGTTTAGGGCTTTGATATAACTCAGCATGAAGGACATTTTCATTGTAAAGATTTGTTTAGGCTTTGATATAACTCAGCATGAAGGACATTTTCATTGTAAAGATTTGTTTAGGGCTTTGATATAACTCAGCATGAAGGACATTTTCATTGTAAAGATTTGTTTAGGGCTTTGATAGAACTCAGCATGAAGGACATTTTCATTTTGAAGATTTGTTTAGGGCTTTGATATAACTTAGCATGAAGGACATTTTCATTGTAAAGATTTGTTTAAGGCTTTGATAGAACTCAGCATGAAGGACATTTTCATTGTAAAGATTCGTTTAGGGCTTTGATAGAACTCAGCATGAAGGACATTTTCATTTTAAAGATTGTTTAGGGCTTTGATAGAACTCAGCATGAAGGACATTTTCATTTTGAAGATTCGTTTAGGGCTTTGATAGAACTCAGCATGAAGGACATTTTCATCGTAAAGATTTGTTTAGGGCTTTGATAGAACTCAGCATGAAGGACATTTTCATTGCAAAGATTTGTTTAGGGCTTTGATAGAACTCAGCATGAAGGACATTTTCATTTTGAGGATTCGTTTAGGGCTTTGATAGAACTCAGCATGAAGGACATTTTCATTTTGAAGATTCGTTTAGGGCTTTGATAGAACTCAGCATGAAGGACATTTTCATTTTGAAGATTCGTTTAGGGCTTTGATAGAACTCAGCATGAAGGACATTTTCATTTGAAGATTTGTTAAGGGCTTTGATAAACCTCAACATATAGGACATTTCAAATTGTAAAGATTTGTTTAGGGCTTTGATAAACCTCAACATATAGGACATTTTCATTTTGAAGATTTGTTTAGGGCTTTGATATAACTCAGCATGAAGGACATTTTCATTGTAAAGATTTGTTTAGGGCTTTGATATAACTCAGCATGAAGGACATTTTCATTGTAAAGATTTGTTAGGGCTCTGATAACACTCAGCATGAAGGACATTTTCATTGTAAAGATTTGTTTAGGGCTTTGATATAACTCAGTATGAAGGACATTTTCATTGTTAAGATTTGTTTAGGGCTTTGATATAACTCAGTATGAAGGACATTTTCATTGTAAAGATTTGTTAGGGCTTTGATAACACTCAGCATGAAGGACATTTTCATTGTAAAGATTTGTTTAGGGCTTTGATATAACTCAGCATGAAGGACATTTTCATTGTAAAGATTTGTTTAGGGCTTTGATAACACTCAGCATGAAGGACATTTTCATTGTAAAGATTTGTTTAGGGCTTTGATATAACTCAGCATGAAGGACATTTTCATTGTAAAGATTTGTTTAGAGCTTTGATATAACTCAGCATGAAGGACATTTTCATTGTAAAAATTGGTTTAGGGCTTTGATATAAAACTCAGCATGAAGGACACTTTCATTTTGAAGATATGTTAAGGGCTTTGATATAACTCAGCGTGAAGGACATTTTTTTTATTTTAAAGATTTGTTTAGGGCTTTGATATAATTCAGCATGTAGGACATTTTCATTGTAAAGATTTGGTTAGAGCTTTGATATAACTCAGCATGAAGGACATTTTTAAATTTACTCTGGCTTTGATATGAGTCTTGATGTAGGATCACCATAATGAGTCTCAGGAAATGGTTTACAATAGTTGTGTGTTACCCTATCAACAAAATACAGCATGGAGGCCGGCGTGATCCATTCTCTGGCATGTATGCCAGCCTCGATGACAATCCGCTTCTTGTTCGAACTGCTGCCACCAGTTATCTGCAAGAAGATGTAACAATTATGTTGTCATCATAGTCGTCGGCATTATTATCATTATTGTTACTGTTAATATCATACATATTAAAATGTTGGAGAGGGGTTGGGTGGTCATGGCATAGTCAGGCCTGAAAAGGTTCACCACAGCTCAGCTACGAGTTTGCCTTGAGCTTTCTCTACACTCATCCCTGTGACCCTCGCCAATGGAACTCACCAAGAACCTCCTAAAGGATATAAAGCCTCCCCCTTCTGTACACCCATAATGTCTGCATGTAGCAAATACTGACACTCTTCTAATCCGTGCCATGTGATCAGCAATAATAGCGCTAAGATGATCGTAACTCCCATACTTTAACATAGGCTTACAATAGTTGTAGTGCTAAGATCCCTTTGTGCCAGTGAGCCCTGGAGATACCAAACAAGAGGCCCCGAGAATGATGGAGAGTCGGTCAACTTCATATGAGGTACATTCATACGTATTCTTTTCATTCCTATTAAATCAAAATTATCAAACTTTTATGCATTGATAATTACAATTATTTATATCAGCAGTTGGTGTTTCGTAGAATAAAACGAATAACTTTAAGCCTTACATGTTTTGTTTTCAATTAAGTCAATTAACATTCTTGCACTTTTAAGTTAAAAAGAAATACCGGATCGTGTATTTGGAATCCATAACATACAGGCTTCTTCACAGGTGTCCAATAAGGACTGCAGTTTATTGAAGGATGTGACCAGCCTACCTCGAGATACCTGGTGCTCCTGCCTTCCTATGTATTGTGAGGTAAGGAGGATGCGAACCACCTACCTGGAGATACCTGGTGCTCCTGCCTTCGTATGTATTGTGAGGTAAGGAGGATGCGGACCACCTACCCCGAGATACCCGGTGTTCCTGCCTTCATATGTATTGTGAGGTAAGGAGGATGAATTCGCGAACCACCTACCTGGAGATACCTGGTGCTCCTGCCTTCGTATGTGTTGTGAGGTAAGGAGGATGCGAACCACCTACCTGGAGATACCTGGTGCTCCTGCCTTCGTATGTGTTGTGAGGTAAGGAGGACGCGAACCACCTACCTCGAGATACCTGGTGCTCCTGCCTTCGTATCTGTTGTGAGGTAAGGAGGATGCGGACCACCTACCTCGAGATACCTGGTGCTCCTGCCTTCCTATGTGTTGTGGGGTAAGGAGGATGCGGACCACCTACCTCGAGATACCTGGTGCTCCTGCCTTCGTATGTGTTGTGGGGTAAGGAGGATGCGGACCACCTACCTCGAGATACCTGGTGCTCCTGCCTTCGTATGTGTTGTGAGGTAAGGAGGATGCGGACCACCTACCTCGAGATACCTGGTGCTCCTGCCTTTGTATGTATTGTGAGGTAAGGAGGACGCGAACCACCTACCTCGAGATACCTGGTGCTCCTACCTTCGTATGTATTGTGAGGTAAGGAGGATGCAGACCACCTACCTCGAGATACCTGGTGCTCCTACCTTCGTATGTGTTGTGAGGTAAGGAGAACGCGAACCACCTACCTCGAGATACCTGGTGCTCCTACCTTCGTATGTGTTGTGAGGTAAGGAGGATGCGGACCACCTACCTCGAGATACCTGGTGCTCCTGCCTTCGTATGTGTTGTGAGGTAAGGAGGACGCGGACCACCTACCTCGAGATACCTGGTGCTCCTGTCTTCGTATGTGTTGTGAGGTAAGGAGGATGCGGACCACCTACCTCGAGATACCTGGTGCTCCTGCCTTCCTATGTATTGTGAGGTAAGGAGGACACGAACCACCTACCTCGAGATACCCGGTGCTCCTGCCTTCGTATGTATTGTGAGGTAAGGAGGATGCGAACCACCTACCTGGAGATACCTGGTGCTCCTGCCTTCGTATGTGTTGTGAGGTTAAGAGGATGTGGACGCGAACCGCCTAGCTCGAGATACCTGGTGCTCCTGCCTTCCTATGTATTGTGAGGTAAGGAGGATACGAACCACCTACCTGGAGATACCTGGTGATCCTGCCTTCGTATGTGTTGTGAGGTAAGGAGGATGCAGACCACCTACCTCGAGATACCTGGTGCTCCTGCCTTCGTATGTGTTGTGAGGTAAGGAGGAAGGACGCGAACCACCTACCTAGAGATACCTGGTGCTCCTGCCTTCGTATATATTGTGAGGTAAGGAGGACGCGAACTACCTACCTCGAGATACCTGGTGCTCCTACCTTCGTATGTGTTGTGAGGTAAGGAGGATGGGGACGCGAACCACCTACCTGGAGATACCTGGTGCTCCTGCCTTCCTATGTATTGTGAGGTAAGGAGGACGCGAACCACCTACCTCGAGATACCTGGTGCTCCTGCCTTCGTATGTGTTGTGAGGTAAGGAGGATGGGGACGCGAACCACATACCTCGAGATACCTGGTGCTCCTGCTTTCGTATGTATTATGAGGTAAGGAGGACGCGAACTACCTACCTGGAGATACCTGGTGCTCCTGCCTTCGTATGTGTTGTGAGGTAAGGAGGACGCGAACCCCATACCTGGAGATACCTGGTGCTCCTATCTTCGTATATGTTGTGAGGTAAGGAGGATGGGGACGCGAACCACATACCTCGAGATACCTGGTGCTCCTGCCTTCGTATGTTTTTTGAGGTAAGGAGGATGCGAACCACCTACCTCGAGATACCTGGTGCTCCTGCCTTCGTATGTGTTGTGAGGTAAGGAGGACGCGGACCACCTACCTCGAGAAACCTGGTGCTCCTGTCTTCGTATGTGTTGTGAGGTAAGGAGGATGCGGACCACCTACCTAGAGATACCTGGTGCTCCTGCCTTCCTATGTGTTGTGAGGTAAGGAGGACGCGAACCACCTACCTCGAGATACCTGGTGCTCCTGCCTTCATATGTGTTGTGAGGTAAGGAGGATGCAGACCACCTACCTCGAGATACCTGGTGCTCCTGCCTTCCTATGTGTTGTGAGGTAAGGAGGACGCGAACCACCTACCTGGAGATACCTGGTGCTCCTGCCTTCGTATGTGTTGTGAGGTAAGGAGGATGGAGACCACCTACCTCGAGATACCTGGTGCTCCTGCCTTCGTATATGTTGTGAGGTAAGGAGGACGCGGACCACCTACCTCGAGAAACCTGGTGCTCCTGTCTTCGTATGTGTTGTGAGGTAAGGAGGATGCGGACCACCTACCTGGAGATACCTGGTGCTCCTGCCTTCATATGTATTGTGAGGTAAGGAGGACGCGAACCACCTACCTTGAGATACCTGGTGCTCCTGCCTTCGTATGTATTGTGAGGTAAGGAGGACGCGAACCGCCTACCTCGAGATACCTGGTGCTCCTGCCTTCGTATGTATTGTGAGGTTAAGAGGATGTGGACGCGAACCGCCTAGCTCGAGAAACCTGGTGCTCCTGCCTTCCTATGTATTGTGAGGTAAGGAGGATGCGAACCACCTACCTCGAGATACCTGGTGCTCCTGCCTTCGTATGTGTTGTGAGGTAAGGAGGATGCGGACCACCTACCTCGAGATACCTTGTGCTCCTGCCTTCGTATGTGTTGTGAGGTTAAGATGATGTGGACGCGAACCGCCTACCTCGAGATACCTGGTGCTCCTGCCTTCGTATGTGTTGTGAGGTAAGGAGGAAGGACGCGAACCACCTACCTCGAGATACCTGGTGCTCCTGCCTACCTATGTGTTGTGAGGTAAGGAGGATGCGGACCCGAACCACCTACCTGGAGATACCTGGTGCTTCTGCCTTCGTATATGTTGTGAGGTAAGGAGGACGCGAACCACCTACCTGGAGATACCTGGTGCTCCTGCCTTCGTATGTGTTGTGAGGTAAGGAGGACGCGAACCGCCTACCTGGAGATACCTGGTGCTCCAGCCTTCATATGTATTGTGAGGTAAGGAGGACTTGAACCGCCTACCTCGAGATACCTGGTGCTCCTGCCTTCGTATGTGTTGTGAGCTAAGGAGGATGCAGTCACTCCACTGAAGCTGTTGGCAAATCCTGTTATGTAGGTATTGATCTGAAAACAAGGCAACGTGTAGGTGCATCTGTATATAGCATCACTGCTGCCGTTGTTCCATAAAATAGTGCCAAAGTCAGTTCTACTCTCTGTACAGAGAACTGCATGCATCGAAAATGGCCACTATACCTGATTCTGCGAGATGCATAAAATACTGCAGTGATTGACTATATTTGATGTACAGAGAACTGCCAAGGCTGTTTCTATCCCATGCACCGCTATCGTGGCGTAGTGAACAGAGCGTCTGCCTGGAGAGCCCACTGTCAGTTGTTCGATTCCCGATCGTGTCATACCAACAGACGTTACAAGATGGTACTTGTTGATACCCTGCCTAGCGCTCAGCGTTAAGGGGGTAAAAGAACGACTGGTAAGCTTGGAGCCAGTAAACTGGGTCTGAGTGGGGTATCTATGTTCAACTGGGGAGAGCATTATAAAACCGGCAATATTCCTTAGGACCATCAGCAGACACACGCACCGTTTAACTGAGCTTCCATTACAAACATAGCGGTGACAGGACAGAGAACTACATAAATGTCCTACAATAAGGAGCAGCACACCATATTCGACGGAAATGTGTTTTATATTAAAACTATAGGTTCTTTTCCCGAGTGATTCCTCGACAATGGGATTATCCACCTCTGGCATCTTAGTGGCTAGCACTATGAAACTGGACATGCATGTCGCCATGTAAGTGAAATAATTTTGACCGCGACGTTAAACCCCATTTTCCCTCACCTACAAGATGCATAAAATAATGTAGAGCTGCTTTCTGTTTTGAAAATCCTTAGATGTTGACGTTGTGAATCTCCACAGCTTTTAGACCCACAATTTAGAGATGATTACACACATGGGCTTGTTCAGTAGCCTAGACACGTGGCATGAGAAGGAAACATGGATTACACACATAGGCTTGTTCAGTAGCTTAGACACGTGGCATGAGAAGGAAACATGGATTACACACATAGGCTTGTTCAGTAGCTTAGACACGTGGCATGAGAAGGAAACATAGATTACACACATGGGATTGTTCAGTAGCTTAGACACGTGGAATGAGAAGGAAACATGGATTACACACAAAGGTTTGTTCAGTAGCTTAGACACGTGGCATGAGAAGGAAACATGGATTATACACATGGGCTTGTTCAGTAGCTTAGACACGTGGCATGAGAAGGAAACATGGATTACACACATGGGCTTGTTCAGTAGCTTAGACACGTGGCATGAGAAGGAAACATGGATTACACACATAGGATTGTTCAGTAGCTTAGACACGTGGCATGAGAAGGAAACATGGATTACACACAAAGGTTTGTTCAGTAGCTTAGACACGTGGCATGAGAAGGAAACATGGATTATACACATTGGCTTGTTCAGTAGCTTAGACACGTGGCATGAGAAGGAAACATGGATTACACACATGGGCTTGTTCAGTAGCTTAGACACGTGGCATGAGAAGGAAACATGGATTATACACATGGGCTTGTTCAGTAGCTTAGACACGTGGCATGAGAAGGAAACATGGATTACACACATAGGCTTGTTCAGTAGCTTAGACACGTGGCATGAGAAGGAAACATGGATTACACAGATGGGCTTGTTCAGTAGCTTAGACACGTGGCATGAGAAGGAAACATGGATTATACACATGGGCTTGTTCAGTAGCTTAGACACGTGGCATGAGAAGGAAACATGGATTACACACATAGGCTTGTTCAGTAGCTTAGACACGTGGCATGAGAAGGAAACATGGATTACACACATAGGCTTGTTTAGTAGCTTAGACACGTGGCATGAGAAGGAAACATGGATTATACACATGGGCTTGTTCAGTAGCTTAGACACGTGGCATGAGAAGGAAACATGGATTATACACATTGGCTTGTTCAGTAGCTTAGACACGTGGCATGAGAAGGAAACATGGATTACACACATAGGCTTGTTCAGTAGCTAAGACACGTGGCATGAGAAGGAAACATGGATTACACACATGGGCTTGTTCAGTAGCTTAGACACGTGGCATGAGAAGGAAACATGGATTACACACATGGGCTTGTTCAGTAGCTTAGACACGTGGCATGAGAAGGAAACATGGATTATACACATGGGCTTGTGCAGTAGCTTAGACATGTGGCATGAGAAGGAAACATGGATTACACACATAGGCTTGTTCAGTAGCTTAGACACGTGGCATGAGAAGGAAACATGGATTACACACATGGGCTTGTTCAGTAGCATAGACACGTGGCATGAGAAGGAAACATGGATTACACACATGGGCTTGTTCAGTAGCTTAGACACGTGGCATGAGAAGGAAACATGGATTACACACATGGGCTTGTTCAGTAGCTTAGACACGTGGCATGAGAAGGAAACATGGATTACACACATGGGCTTGTTCAGTAGCTTAGACACGTGACATGAGAAGGAAACATGGATTACACACAAAGGCTTGTTCAGTAGCTTAGACACGTGGCATGAGAAGGGAACATGGATTACACACAAAGGCTTGTTCAGTAACTTAGACACGTGACATGAGAAGGAAACATGGATTGCACACATGGGCTTGTTCAGTAGCTTAGAGACGTGGCATGAGAAGGAAACATGGATTACACACATGGGCTTGTGCAGAAGCTCAGACACGTGGCATGAGAAGGAAACATGGATTACACACATGGGCTTGTTCAGTAACTTAGACACGTGACATGAGAAGGAAACATGGATTAGACAGATAAGCTTGTGCAGTAGCTTAGACATGTGGCATGAGAAGGAAACATGGATTATACACATGGGCTTGTTCAGTAGCTTAGACACGTGGCATGAGAAGGAAACATGGATTACACACATGGGCTTGTGCAGAAGCTTAGACACGTGGCATGAGAAGGAAACATGGATTACACACATAGGCTTGTTCAGTAGCTTAAACACGTGGCATGAGAAGGAAACATGGATTACACACATAGGATTGTTCAGTAGCTTAGACGCGTGGCATGAGAAGGAAACATGGATTGAACACATGGGCTTGTTCAGTAGCTTAGACGCGTGGCATGAGAAGGAAACATGGATTGAACACATGGGCTTGTGCAGTAGCTCAGACGCGTGGCATGAGAAGGAAACATGGATTGAACACATGGGCTTGTGCAGTAGCTCAGACACGTGGCATGAGAAGGAAACATGTCGAACCTGGGAGAGCTGGTGGTATTTGGTGTGATCTGCTATCCCCGAGACAAAGTTGTATGTGCTCATGTCATACTGTCCCAGCTCCGGTGGGTTGTCGATCATTCTGAAAACAATATGCACATCCATAACGCAACTTTTGTTGCCAACTCGCATTTTCAGTTGTATCAAGATCAGGTGTTGGGTTTTTGTCTCTACATATATACAATATACTTAGTCTTATACATCTCCTACCACTACATATATACAACATACTTACTCGTGTACATCTTCTACCGCTACATATATACAACATATTTACTTGTGTACAACTTCTATCACTACATATATACAACACACTTATTCGTGTAATCTCCTACCACTACATATATACTATATGGGCACGCCAGAAACCTATGATTGTGGGTTCGAATCCCAGTTCGCCCCGATTATGCTGCCAGGTATGTCAGCACCATACCCGTGCTCGTGGGTTTCACCGAAGTGGTAAACGACTGAGACCTGCGTCACTTCGGGCTTTCCTCCCACTTGAAGCTGACACGCCTTTATATATATGGAATAATGTTAAAAGGGGCGTTAAACCCAACTCACTCACTCACTACTTTTTACCACTACATATATACAACACACTTACTCTTGTTCATTGTCCACCACTACACATATACAACATACTTACCCTTGTACGTCTTCTACGACTACGACGTGGGTCAGTCCAGCCTGGGTCAGCAGGTCCACAAACCTGGCGTACACGTTAGGAGGCACACGAACCCGTGTCTCGTGGTCCAGCACTGGGTCCAGCCAAAAGTCCAACTGAAAGTCAAAGCCACCAAACACTGTACCACGTGGAGAATCCCACACCTTTATCCCTCAAAATATGACTCGAAAAATGACTGTCCACATTCATCATGACAACCTTATTTTGTAATACATTTAGTAAGAAAATACGTTTGTATAATGCAAAAATTAGAATTCGTGTAAAGCGCTTACCTCATGCACAAACGCGTGCTTAAAGCGCGGTAGTTTGCGCGATCTTACAATATCTGGCGATGCGACCACTGGGCCACCTGTGACCCCCTCGATTCTTGAGGCATAACCTGTTGCCTGTTGTGAAGACTTCTTACCCAAAGGAGGTCGGGTAGCCTAGTGGTTAAAGCGTTCGCTCGTCACGCTGAGGACCCGGGTTCGATTCCCGACATGGGCACAATGTGTGAAGCCCATTTCTGGTGTCCCCCGCCGTGATGTTGCTGTAATATTGCTTAAAGAGGCGTAAAACCATACTCACTCACTCACTCACTCACTCACTCACTCTTACCCCAAGGTGGCCGGTCTCACCCAGCTCGTGCAGGAACTCAACCTGTTCTTTGTTTGTGGGCGTCACGCCGACCAGGCGATGGCTGAAGCAAATCACGAATTAAATAATCTGCCGGGCCAAAAACAGAAAAATACCAATTTGTGTTTGTTGTTCAACGCCGCACTCAGCAATATTACAGCCATATGACGGCAGTTTGTAAACAAGAATGACTGACTGACTGAGTTGGGTTTAACGCCGCTTTTAACATTATTCCAGTTATATCACGGCGTGTCAGCTTAATGTGGGAGGAAAGTGATGCAGGTCTTAGACGTTTACCACTTCGGTAGCATATGTGCATTCCTCTCATTATACTCTCAATTGTACTACATATGGTTATACGGTCGGGATCTTAACTGTGTCAAAGTTATAAACTCTTTTTAGCCCCGCCCCTTAGTCCTCGGGGGTGGGAGTAGGGTTGTTCAGCGCCTCCATTTCTCCAATTTGAATCCCCACCATTGGAGAATGCTTCCAACCAAATATGGTTGATAACTATCTCTTAGTTCCAGAGAAGAATTCGTTTAAAGCAATATAGCCAAATTACCCCTATTTTGCCCAGCTCCTCAGCCCCTTTGGGGGTCAGCCCCACCATTGTGAATCCCCACCAGCTAGGGATGCTTCCAGTCAAATTTCGTTTATTTCCAATCAGTGGTTCAGAAAGAGAAGTCGTATGATTAAATTGTTGGCGTACGGAAGACGGACGGACGACGGACGCCACGGTATGGCATAAGCTCACCTGGGTCCTTCCGACCAGGTGAGCTAATAATCGAGCCTGGACCAGACAATCTAGTGATTGATGTGAGCATCGATCAACGCAACTGGGATACGATGATATGCATCAACCAAGTCAGCGACCCTGACCACCCGATCCCAAGCATGGGTTGCTGAAGACCAATTCTAACCCAGATCTTCACAGGACGCGAAAGAAAGTATACACCTATATTTGATGAAGGCAAAAAATGAAACAAAGAAGAATGGTTGTCCGATGCTGATGTATTTGATACAGTTATCAAAGTTGTGTTTAAGACCTTAAGTTTGCGTAGAGCGTCCGCCCGGAGAGTGGAAGGTCCGGGGTTCGATCCCCGGCCGCGTCATACCAAAAGACGTTAAAAGATGGTACTTGTTTTTACCCTATCTGGCGCTCGGTATTAAGGGGCTAAAACAAGGACTGGTCAGCTCGGAGTCAGTATACTGTGTCTGAGTGGGGTATTCATGTTAAACTGCGGCATGGTATCTCAGTGAACTAGCACTATAAATCGGCATCAGTACGGACTAGCACAAGAAGCCACACACACACATACACGTGCATGCATGTCGCTATATAAGTGCAATAATCTTGGACGCGACGTAAAAGCCCATTTCACCTCACCTCACCTTAAGTTTGCAGTTGGTCGACAACTTTTTTAAACCTAGTACGTTCTGATATATATAATTTTGATCAAATCAATTTTCTAGTGTATAATTACTTGTGACTGTCAGTTTATAGATTAATACCATATTGTATAAATGATCTGTTCATTATCTTTTAAAATAATTAAATCACAGTTTTAACAATTTTCGAAGATCATTGGTCAAATGGACATTGCGAGCTTCCATATGAGATCTTTACATACACTACTGTTCACAAGAACATACCTCTTTTTGCCGAACTTTTCGCGACACTTTTGCGCTACCACAGCGATTCAATAAGATAATTCCTCAAACACGCCGCGGCGCGTTTCCGTAACTGTATCGCGATAAAGAGGTAAGTGGTTTTGAGCAGTAGTGTAGACGAAAACAGTTGATCTTTTCAACTGGTAGATAGTATTTGTGAAAATTGCATATTGTGAATATGCACATTTGAGAATTAATTATTGACATAAACTGAAAAAATGCTGTCATCATTCGAATGTGCCATGTGTTTCAGAAAACAAGTAAAGAAAAATACGCACCCAACATATGATTCTTTCTCCGGGTTATCCGGTTTTGCCCTAACCGCCGCCCCATACGTAGGGGCGAGGCAGACAGTCAGCAACATTAGCGTCCACATGTTGAAGTCAGATATCACGGCGAGGAGAACCTTTGTCTTTATAACATGCCCGAGCAGAAGGTGCCGTGTGCAAAGGATTTTATAACTCATTGATATAAACCCCTTTACACAGTATTGTCCACAATCAAGATCATTGTCCATAATCAAGGACATTGTCAGAGGGGCATAACTGTATACAATACCTTGAATAAAGAGCAATAGCTTGAGCCTTATCTTGATGTGCTGTTTCAAGAAAGTGCAACGTCATGGCCCCTCCAAGGCCCAAGACGCCTCCGTGGTCTAGTGGTAGAGTGTCCGCCCGGAGAGCGAAAGGTCCACGGTTCGATCCCCGGCCGCGTTATACAAACAGACGTTAAAAGATGGTACTTGTTGTTACCCTGACTGGCGCTCTGCATTAAGGGGCTGAAACAAGGACTGGTCGGCTCGGAGTCAGTATACTGTGTCTGAGTGGGGTATTCATGTTAAACTGCGGCTTGGTATCTCAGTGAGCTAGCACTATGAATCGGCATCAGTCCGGACTAGCACAAGCAGCCACACACACACATACACGTGCATGCATGTCGCTATATAAGTGCAATAATCTTGGACGCGACGTAAAACCCCATTTCACCTCACCTCACCTTAAGTCTGCAGTTGGTCGACAACTATTTTAAACCTAGTACGTTCTGATATATATAATTTTGATCAAATCAATTTTCTAGTGTATACTTACTTGTGACTGTCAGTTTATAAATTAATACCATATTGTATAAATGATCTGTTCATCATCTTTTAAAATAATTAAATCACAGTTTTAACAATTTTCGAAGATCATTGGTCAAATGGTCATTGCGAGCTTCCATATGAGATCTTTACATACACTACTGTTCACAAGAACATACCTCTTTTTGCCGAACTTTTCGCGACACTTTTGCGCTACCACAGCGATTCAATAAGATAATTCCTCAAACACGCCGCGGCGCGTTTCCGTAACTGTATCGCGATAAAGAGGTAAGTGGTTTTGAGCAGTAGTGTAGATGAAAACAGTTGATCTTTTCAACTGGTAGATAGTATTTGTGAAAATTGCATATTGTGAATATGCACATTTGAGAATTAATTATTGACATAAACTGAAAAAATGCTGTCATCATTCGAATGTGCCATGTGTTTCAGAAAACAAGTAAAGAAAAATACGCACCCAACATATGATTCTTTCTCCGGGTTATCCGGTTTTGCCCTAACCGCCGCCCCATACGTAGGGGCGAGGCAGACAGTCAGCAACATTAGCGTCCACATGTTGAAGTCAGATATCACGGCGAGGAGAACCTTTGTCTTTATAACATGCCCGAGCAGAAGGTGCCGTGTGCAAAGGATTTTATAACTCATTGATATAAACCCCTTTTCACAGTATTGTCCACAATCAAGATCATTGTCCATAATCAAGGACATTGTCAGAGGGGCATAACTGTATACAATACCTTGAATAAAGAGCAATAGCTTGAGCCTTATCTTGATGTGCTGTTTCAAGAAAGTGCAACGTCATGGCCCCTCCAAGGCCCAAGACGCCTCCGTGGTCTAGTGGTAGAGTGTCCGCCCGGAGAGCGAAAGGTCCACGGTTCGATCCCCGGCCGCGTTATACCAACAGACGTTAAAAGATGGTACTTGTTGTTACCCTGACTGGCGCTCTGCATTAAGGGGCTGAAACAAGGACTGGTCGGCTCGGACTCAGTATACTGTGTCTGAGTGGGGTATATATGTTAAACTGCGGCATGGTATCTCAGTGAGCTAGCACTATAAATCGGCATCAGTCCGGACTAGTACAAGCAGCCACACACACACACACACACGTGAATGCACGTCGCTATATAAATGCAATAATCTTGAACGCGACGCTAAACCCTCACCTCACCTCCATCATCCACTCATCAATATTCCAGCTATATGACGGCGGCCTGTAAATAATCGAGTCTGGACCAGACAATCCAGTGATTAATATCATGAGCATCGATCAACGCAATTGGGATACGATGACATGCATCAACCAAGTCAGCGAGCCTGACCACCCGATCCCGTTAGTCGCCTTTTACGACAAGCATAGTCACCTTTTACGGCAAGCATGGGTTGCTGAAGACCAATTCTACCTCGGATCTTCACGGGTCCCATGATCCATGTATGATGTATAGTTTCGGTTATTATTGTTTGTTTGTTTATTATGGATTATTCGATAGAATTGTTTATTGACACACGCGGTACTTGAATAGCTTTGTTCGGCTTCTTACAAAAAAAATGTTTTGTTTGTTTGTTGTTTAACGCTGTACACTGCAATATTCCAGCTATATGACGGCGATCTGTAAAAAGAAATCGAGACTGGACCAGACAATCCAGTGATTGATAACATGAGCATCGATCCACGCAATTGGGTTGGTTGGTTGGATTGTTGTTTAACGCCGCACTCCGGAATATTCCAGCTATGTGCCGGCGGTCTGTAAATAATCGAGTCTCGGCCACATAAACCCGTGATTGATGTCATGAGCATCGATCCACGCAATAGGGATCGATGACATGCATCAACCAGGTCAGCGAGCCTGACCGCCCGATCACGTTAGTCGCCTTTTACGACAAGCATAGCCTCCATTTACGTCAAGCATGTTTACTAAACCCAGATCTATTCTAACCCAGATCTCCACGATAGTCTGTGATAGAAGTAAGGCTGTGAATAACTTATAACAACAATCACTTGCTCGGGGCACACAATGAGATCATCCAGCCAGCATTTACAAACGGTGGAACTGAAAAGTTTACATTTCACAAATAATGTCCTATCAAATCTCTCACACATTTTACTAAGGCCTCGGTGATCTATCGTGGCAGATTTATGGATGGTGTAGAGACTTCCTTGAGAGGAACTCCCCGACATTAATTACAACTAGAGACACAATAAATCTGCCACACATTACTATAGTGTCATTGACCCACTTTAATGTTGTCAAAAAGAATCAATTACATTTCGGTGCTATGCCATGAATGTGTTGACATCAGGCCTTGTGAAGATAGTGCGGGGTGGCCAGTTGCCGGTGATTCAATGGTTGCATCCCTCAGCCAAGTCAAGATGTGTGTTCGTTAGTTCATGGGGCGGTCGGGTAGCCTAGTGGTTAAAGCGTTCGCTCGTCACGCCGAAGACCCGGGTTCGATTCCCGACATGGGTACAATGTGTGAAACCCATTTCTGGTGTCCCCCGCCGTGATATTGCTGGAATATTGCTAAAAGCGGCGTAAAACCATACTCAGTCAGTCAGTCAGTCGTTAGTTCATTAGTAGTTTACAGCCGCAATCGTGTCTGGACCAGACAATCCAGTGATTGCCATCATGAACATCGATCCACACAATTGGCATACGATGACATGCACCAACCACGTCAGCGAGCATGACCACCCGATTCCGATTACAGCGCTCTGTTAAATATCGAGTCTTGATCCTGTGATTGATAATAAGAGCAGCGATCCACGCCGCCTAGGAACGTTGACCGGCCAACAACAAAGTCATCGGACTTGACCATCCGATACACTTGGTCACCTCTTGCGACCAGCATAGGCTTCAAGAAACCGGGGGCACGGGTGGCCCAGTCGTCTCTGCTGTGCAGAGTTGCGTCCCTTGGGCACGCCAGAGACCTATGATCTCGGGTTCGAATCCCGGTTTCGCCACAATTATGTTTCTAGGTTTGTCAGCACCATACCCGTGCTCGTGGGTTTCACCGAAGTGGTAAACGTCTGAGACCTGCATCACTTCGGTCTTTCCTCCCACATTAAGCTGACACGCCGTGATATAACTGGAATACTGTTAAAAGCGGCGTTAAACCCAACTCACTCACTTCAAGAAACCAATTCTAGCCCGGACGCCCCACGTACACCAAGTCAAGATGTGCAGAGTCGCATCACTTGGGCACGCCAGAAGCCTACGATTGTGGGTTCGAATCCCTGTTCATCCCGATAATGTTTCTAGGTTTGTTTGCACCATACCCATGCTCGTTGGTTTCATCAGAGTGGCATTACTTCGGGCTTTCCTCCCACATCAAGCTTCAAGCTGACAGGCCGTGATATAACTGTTTTTGTTTTGTTTGTTTGTTGTTTAACGCCGCAATCGGCAATATTCCAGCTATATGGCGGCGGTCTGAAAAATAATCGAGTCTTGACCTGCCAATCCAGTGATTGTCATGAGCATCGATCCACGCAATTGGGATCGATGACATGCATCAACCAAGTCAGCGAGCCTGACCACCCGATCCAGTTGGTCGCCTTTTACGACAAGCATAGTCGCCTTTTACGAGAAGTATGGGTTGCTGAAGATCTATTCTACCCCGGAATCTTCACGGGTGAAATGGGTTGTACAGCATTGCGCGAAGGAACATCCGAAAGTAAAATGTATACTTTTGAAAGATCGATATTATTGCATAACAATGTTTTAACCCACGAAAAAGAAGAATCTATAGCATTGTGCAAAACGTCATCCGAAAATAAACTGTATACTTTTGAAAGATCGATATTATTGTATAACAATGTTTTGACCCCTGAAAATGTAGGTTCTATATCATTGTGCAAATCATCATCCGAAAATAAGTGTATACTTTTGAAAGATCGATATTCTTGTATAACACTGTTTGACCCATGCAAATGTAGGTTCTATAGCATTGTGCAAAACATCACTCGAAAATAAATTGTATACCTTTGAAAGATTGATATTATTGTATGACACTGTTTCGACCCATGAAAATGTGTACGGCCTCACATGGTCATCTTCAGAATCTGTTTGTTAGGTCCGGTCACGTGATGACGCACGAGCAGACGACAGTTTCCCCGTGTGCCATTGAACATTGTGTGACAACAATGTGGATATTTCATTCACACACTCACTCCCACTGAGATTGTGTATCGAGGTTAGATATTTCATTCAAACACTCACTCCCACTGAGATTGTGTATTGAAGTTAGATATTTCATTCACACACTCACTCCCACTGAGATTGTGTATTGAGGTTAGATATTTCATTTACACACTCA